ACATTAAATTGATTGTTAGCTAAAAACGTCCGATTTCCAGAGGGTCCCATGAACATTCTAGCTGTCCACCACTAATCGCTGTCCGCTAGCGACGTAGATTGAATGCGATAAATTAACAGAAATGTTGTTCCCAAGCAAGGATGTGAGTGAAACGAATGCATGAATTTTGACCTCAAAGTACTTTCGAGTACGCTTTGAGTTACTTGTGATATAGAAATTTTCCAACCGCTTCCAGTTTTTTTTTTTATTATTGTGGGCATCTTCAAAAGTATACTTCGACACGATCTTCAATATTCATATATGGCATTCAAGCCAAAAAGCACGACTCCAACTTTAGCCCCCGATGACTTTGACAATTTCAAGAATAAATGACACAAGATTTTCTAAATACACCGACGTGACTAAATTAACTTAGAACCTTACGCTGATTAGCATATGCTCTCTATGGTCTGTAATGCTTTTCAAAAGTTTTAAAGAATGACTTTTAAATATCTTTCTTGTATATGTCTTATATATGTCAAACGACAAGTCAAAATTATTATACTCTTACTGTTGAGTACTGAACACAAAATTATATTTGCATTGTTTCTCAATTAGTTCTCTATTGATGGAAAACTGTGTTGAACGACTAACGGAACTATGCTCGCTTTTATACATACTTTGGATACCCACCATCTCACACAATCATTATATGCGTATCAAAGTGAGGCAATTTTCACATAAAACGAATACGTCAGCAACTCTGTTAAATAATCATTCTGCTTATACTCTAAAAGGGGAGACATCAAGAAAACCAATTTTTTTTTTTTTTGCATTTTTCCATCTTCTTTACACACTTTCCTTAGGGCCTTTAGCAGTGTAGGTATATTTCTAAATGGACTTAACTTATTATCAAATTTATGACACGTGTAAAGGTAGAAAGGAATAAAGCAGATTGCCAGAGACTTGACCTCAATCAAGAATACGTATGCAGGCTTTTTCGCTAAATATTACAAACGAAATGTTAAAATTAGCAAACCTTGCCTAAGCGATGGTGGGCGTCGAAAGAGTACTCTCTTAAATGTTTGTAGTTTGGCGAGAAAACCGATGTGAAGACAGAGAAAATAGAGAAAGACAGAGAGAGAGAGAGAGAGAGAAACAGAAACTACATAAGTGCATATAGTGTCATAATCAGAGAAACTTTTAATTCGTGTGACATACATGCGAGTGTGTGGGTCGAGATTACCATATCGTGGTATGGTTATGTTTTCATTCAACACCGTTTTCAACTGTAGGCGTATCTGCTGGCATATTAAATTTGCCACATCACTGTAGCGTAGTGTCAGTCACGCCGTAGATCCCACAATGTCAGTAAAATCTTGATCAGCGCGAATAGTCTCTCCGTCTCCCATATCCTGATGTTTGCCTAAAAGAGCCGACTTTGCCTGACGTTTTTTTAACTATTATCTTCACTTTGAGTTGAAAAATCATAGATTCATCCGAAATTCTTAAAAACGTACTTATAAACAAGGCTAATAATTTGAACATGATTGCAGTTTGTTAAATTATGTACGAGGTTCATACGTTACAATGCATGTTTTATATGCAATGAACGGGTCTTCGCTTTATGTTGCAATGAAATATCTACTGAAAGCTAATGGTCTGAATACTAAAAATTGAAGCAAGCCAAAAACACTTTTATTCATTTGATTTTTTTGCTTAACTTGGTAATAAGGTTCGGTGTATATTATATATTATATGATATATAAAAATTTCTAATTATTAAGGGCCACTGAATTGCTTGCATTTGATTCATTTGTCCGTCCGCCTTTCTATCCCTTTGTCCCTAACTTGGATTTAAAATAGAATATTGATACAAGAGAAGAAAGAAAACTAGTATCCCTCGCCCTTGGAGAGGAGGAGGTTTCTGACTTTTACCCACTAAAGCATAACAGAACCAAAAAGTTGAGGCAAATAATTAGCGAAATTATTTACAAATGAAACGCAATAATGACATTCATCTTTCGATTGACCCGACTGCAATCTTAAGAAACCAATTTGACTTTCTTATTAGCACAATATATGGTAAGCGTGATAAGGGTATATATATGCTTTAATCGTAGCAACCACTCCAAAATCATTTTCGAAATTGATTTAAACTCCGTCTATCTCCCTTAGGTATTTAATGTAATGGCCTTGTGTTCAAATTATTTTAATCCTAAAACATAGTCATCAAAAGTTATTGGATCGTAGTGATCTTACAACCTACTCCGAAAAAATCTTTTCCGGGAAAAAATTCGTATTTTCCGACATCAATTGATAAAAAGTATAAATTAACTAAATGCGACAAATTTAGGTGGAATAAACCTATTCATTTTTAAGCTCCCCCATCGACAAGCCTGTTTGCAAAAAATTAGCCTTTATATCACAACCAGAGTTAGTTGCTAGTGTTTTATATCATAAGAATAAGTCTAAAATAGCGGTTTAACTAGCCAGGTTACTACGCTAAGTTAGGATAATTGAATCTTTCTCTTAAGCGTAGCAGTATATGGTTTTCAATTGTCAATCTTGCCTGAGTATAATGCAGAGGCATATTCATTGCGTCAAAACGTTAGCAACGCCCAGAAGAGACTCCAGAAGGTATATATATTCTTGATCTGCGTCAAATCTTAAATCAGTTGAAGCATGTTCGCAACTTTTTAGTATTTGTGGTAAACATTCTCTCGTTAGCGCAAATGAAGATATCGCCTGCAGATTTACGAAAGAATTCGAAATTGACCTCGCCTACAACGCCCATAAGCCTCTGCGATAAAAGCTTTTATTTTAAAAATAAAGGAAATCAACTGCGCCCACTCCCTATTATAGAGAGCATGAGAAATTTGTTCTTTTACTGTTTTTACCCTTTTTTTAGGGTAAAACGTTGATGGGTGTAAAAGATTCGGTCCCAATCGAATTTAATTTTTTTACATGTTTCAATTAATTTTATTCTTTGCGCACTTTGTGTAAGTTATTCGTAGATAAACTCGGTTAGGCACACTTTGCTAATGTAGTTCGGAGACTCTTAGTGCTTAGTGGAATGTGATATCTTACCTTTAGATGAAAAGAGTGATGATAAACTTATTGCAGTACATTGTTCATTGAATTTCAATTCTCAAACCATATTTGTATTGAATTTGTTTGTGTTCAACACAACAGATAAGTACGTCTTGCTTATATATGTCGTATCATCAAAAACTTTATATATATATATATATATATATATATGTAAAAGAATTCCTCAGGAGAAATTTTCTTTGTTAAGAAAACTTTTCTTTACGTGCACGTAAAGTTGTAATCGTAGTAACACTTTATAACCGTAAGGTATAAGTATAATATTTGAAGTATAATAATATTAGTACAAAAAGATTTATGTCTAGTAATAAATCTTTTTTTCTTAACTTGATCCCATGCATGAAATGGGATAATAATATAAAAAAAAACAATAAAAAAAATAAAAAATTTCAAGTTATTTTTAAACGTTAAAGTTAAAGGAAGAACAATTAAAGATTATCATGTGTAAAAATTTCACAAAAGAGACGAAAGCGAAAGAAAGTGCAATTATTACTAGGGTATTAATCTGCCTCGCTCAAGGAGTAGTAGACCTTCTCCAACTCATTCAAGTCGCTTGAACTTTATTTCAATGTGAATGTTTAATTGAAAGTCACTTTATCTCAAGCGTCAGATCTCAAGTGGCGTAAGAAAAAGGCAAAAAGTGAGAGAGAGATCGGTAGAGAAAACAACCACGAAATCTGTATTCGCTATAAAGCGAATTTTCAATGTCCGCTAACTTCTCAAATTTTTTATCAGAACTTTCATATATAAGTAAATGGATTAAGATGGTTATCAGTCCTCTTCGCGTTTATAGAGCTTTAGGAAATGTGATCGATATCTACTATCGTTCGTTCCGTTAACCGCGAACTTGCGAGCGGCTCAAATCTATACTCAAACTTGGCCAAGAGAATTGATTGACGCAACGACCCCAGTTGGATTGGGTTTTCAGTCAGCTAATATATATTTGCGCGTAAGTCCGTCTGTTTTCTAACGTTCCCAAGTTGAGTAAATATAGGAGCATCGTAAAAGAAGATCGATTTGCGAAGAAGTATAAGTGAGTTGAAATCCAATCGAAGGATCAAGACTACTCGGTTTTGACAGCCTCTTTGCTTCGGTTGCGAACGGAATAACAAAATTGCTATATTTTCATCTTTCGGTGATTAATATAAAGATACGCAAACCCTATAAATGCAAACACTTTTTTCAAGAGGTTTACGTGAACGTTGCTTGTACAATATATGAGCGTACCTATGCACTTCATCGGTATTTGTTATTTTCAATTTTTGCTGACACATCAGCCTTAGCTTTATACTTTACAGTACGTTGGCTATAGCAATGTAACCACGAAAAAGACAATAAAATAGAAAAGTTTATATAAACGCATTTCTCACTTTATAAAGTAAATTGCGGTCGATTTAAATAAGAGCATTACAAAAACAATTCACGACAATTTACTTGCATAATAATGCATGGATGTGCGCTTATGTACGAATTAACTTTGCTGTCCTTAATACACTCTCTACTCTACTCTACTCTAACCAGCATTGTAGGAAAACTTTACCTTTATTGTAATATGCAAGACTTGATGACAATTGAAAACTGGAAAAGGTAGACAAATGATTGCAGCTGAACAATGCGATGACAATGAAGGCCGCATAAAGCGGGCAATAATATCGACGACGCTTGAAGCAAGCGGAAATGAAACCGCTGGTTTTTAAAGTGTTTAAGAATGCCAAAGCGAATCATTAACTAAAAGAAATTGTATGCGGTTAATATCGAATCCCTTTCATAGTGCTTTAAGTGCCTTGCTTACAGGCAGCTAGCTAGCTATACATCGTTATTATATCTAAGCCATCGTTATTATATCAATAGAAAGTGCAGTCAGTCCGGCGTTAAGTGCTTTAGAATATTTTATAATAATATGTACTCACCGTTGCTGTTGTTAAATGACATATTCACGCTTTCCCCACTAGCTTCACCACCGTCGGTTTCACACAAATGCGTATGATTTAGAGGAGTAGAAGAGGCTCTAGTATGCTGTAATGCGGGTGAATTCTTAATTCCGATTGAATCAGAACTCTCATTGCAACTTCTTTCCGGTAACGATAAGGGACCAGAAGCATTCAATTCGAGAGGTGGGGAGTTTTCCCGTACACAAGACATCAATCCGGATGACATGCTAAATAAAAGAAAGAAAAAAATATATATTACAATATTTTTGAATGGAGAGGAAATTAATTGACTTTCATTTTTCAATGTGTTTAGAGCAAGAATTTACTAAACAATTGTGTCATTGTTTTGTTACCGAATTTCAGCAACACATCTTTCTTATATTAGTTTAAATCAATTTACATGAATTACAAAACATATATATCTATGCGTACTGATCAAGCAAGAAGCTTACCATTTTTTCGCTTGGTCTGCTAAGGCACAGAGTCAGCAGACATTTGTTAAATTACAAAACAACTGCATATGTATTCTTAGAACAACTTGTAAGTTCGTCATTAGTCTTGTCTATTCGTGCGATCATCTGTCTGCCCCGTATTGGGATCATGTGTGATCACAAAGTGGGGACAAAAGTGTTCAAAATTGAAATGTCACTGATTTGTCTATTAGTCCGTGAACATGAAAAAGAATATATCGAAAGATATTTCAAATATGCTACTATGTCGTGGTATATTGCGGCACTGAAAAAGTTCGTACTGTTTTTTCACCATTATTCAACCATAATCAGTTTAATCCAATATGCGAGCTCTATAGAAGCCTTCTTTATTTTTATGATTTCCACTGGTCTCTTGCGGGGTCAGCTCTTTCTACTCCGAATTTCGGTTTTAATCGCGTCACCTGGTGAAAATAAAGACAAACAGTTGCTGTACGGAGAGTCAATCCGAAATTCGCCGCCGTTTGTACAGCTTCATGTACCTTGAGCCATAGTTTTCTTCGAGCGTATGTGTATGACACACTTCTCATCCCTGGTCTTCATAAATGATCAATTTCATTTCTATGTAGAAGCGAAGAATCTCTTCGGTTAATTGACTAGAGCACGGCACACCTTCGACTGATAAAATATTATCATAAGCGAAAGTTTGTCGTAATCTTCGAAATGCGCTTACTTTTGATTAAAGCAGGAAATATCAGTGCGGTTTTTTTTTTTTTAAATTTTCTTCCACAAGCGCTATAGTACACTTTAATTGTGTTAGTGTTAGTAAAGTTCCGTGGCTCTATAGGCCTCTATTAGGACAAACGACACTAATTTTTGTTTTTGTTTGTATAAATACTACTGTGGATCAAACGTATTGAGACTGTACTTTTCTAAAATACTCGCGCTATGATTTCGAGAAGTGTGTGTTCTTTAATCGGTTAGTGTCATAGTTGTTGATTGTGAACAGTTGACATAAATTTCGAAACATATGCTCTGTTGTTTTACTTTGGTTCACCTGTAGCACGACATTGAAATCTTTCCGGGTCATAAGCATGAATCCAAGTTCCATCGCCAGTAATTATGCATTTCAGTCCATTACCATTCATAGAAAACATCTTTTTCGTCATTTCACCACGACATTGCTTTTTAAACAAATGCAATACTTTTAGAGCAAGACAAAAAGCCAAGCGAGACAAGCTCAAGCCATCTTTCAAAATCAATTGCATTGATCCTTTTGATATCCCTTTAGATCCGTTGATATCTTCAAAATCTCTTTAAGCCAATCGATGTTTAACAAGTACAAGAGCTTTGCTTTTTTCGATGTTTCCATCAGTAGTTGAGTTTGATGGTCTTCCTAAAGTAGATTCATCTTCCGACTACCTCATGATCCCCATTAAATGATTTGTTCCACTTAACAATTTGCAATCTTGATAAGCACTTCTCACCGCAACAGACTTGTAACATTTTGGATTCATTTCATTATGTTGCGAAAATTTGATGCGATTTCTTCCCTGAACAAATTTTGCCGTTGTAAAAATCGCTGAGAACAGAAAAACAAAAAAAAAGAAAAGAAGAAAACGCGCTGTTACTACTAAAACAACACAGCACACGTCTCGACATTTATGTGAGCTGTTCACAATGGTCGTACCAGTGTACCAAAAAATCTGCCACATCGACATTATAGCGCGAGTAATTTTAAAAAATACAGTGTCACTACTTTCTGTTCGCAGTAGTATATGTACCGGGGATATATTCATTTGCTGAGGACCTTTCCGACACTCAAAAGGATGATCCACTGTGCGTCAGACAGAACGATTGCAAGCTATTATACGCAGATTGGCATCGAAGACCAATCAAGGGACGCGCAATAAATCGCGAGCATCTCCCTTTTAACCTTTTGCTGATTGGTTATAAAATACTACAGACTGTGATAACTATGAGAATTTCCAGTGATATTCTGTGACTTAATCTACAGTACATGGAAAAAAATTGAAGAAATCGCTCACGCCCGCCCGATATTACAGAGTATCAATAATTTGATTTCCTTCCACCTTTTTTTTTTTTTAATATAAAGTTGCAGGGTATAAAAAATTCGACAACAACCAAATAAAATTTTTTTACTTGTGTTTTGTTTTGTCAATAAATGATATAATAGGTGCAAAAGTAAACATTTGGTTTGATTGTTTTTGAAAACGAGCTTAGGTCAATTTTAAAATAAAATAAGCTGAAAAGGCTTGTAACGATATGATGAGGTCCTTTAATATATTCTATTTAAAAAGGCACAAGGCTGCCATCTCGAAATAGGCATAAAATTCGGATGAATGACATGAGATCTTGAAGCCATTTACGCATATGTAGAGGATGTCCCCATAAAATATATACACATTGCTTAAAAAATAAATTAGAAAGAATAAGGTGTTAGTGTACATATTTTTTTGGAACAATCAATTTTGGAGTAGAACTCCAATCTTGTTAACAATAGAACTGCGTCTTTCTCTCAGAGAGGATGAGTCTATCCGTTTATCAGCTTATGTCTGTCCGTCCGTCCATCCGTCATTTTTTGTTGGAATGCTTACGAAGGACAGACAGAATGCAGACATTTGAAAGGCTTATGGAGATAGCAAAAAAGAAAAATATGAAATCTCACATTAATTAACCACGAAGTGACTGTGATGCATTTTTAAATGTGAGAATTACAAGCGGCATGACGTAGGGTACTCCCATGTTTCGTTGACGTTGGCAATGAAATTTTTTAAAATATATTCGTCCATAATAATACACATGAGCGTGTGTAAAAAGTATGTGATTAATTTTATAACAAGACCATATCGTCCAAGCTTGTACCTTATTAGGTATTATACACATTTTTTAGATTTCTTAACGAATGGCTTAAATATTAAATAAAATTACTTCGAGGTTTTACACTAGTAGTTATGTTTAAAGAAAACTTGTAGTTAAAACATCTTAGTCAGGAATATGTAATTAAATACAATGTACACAAAATGTAAAAAACAATTGAAGTAACGGAAGTTGCAGCATTTGTTACCTTAATGACCATGAAAAGAGAAACACTGTTGATGTTCATTTTAACATGAACTCTGCACTACATGTCTGCTTAAACAAAATGTGACTGTGACGTTACGTTTTGTATCTACCGTGGGAAATGGTTATAAAAAATGCGTCATTGTTTTTGCAACGATCGGGAATATGAGAACGATCGGCACGAACACTATGAGATTTCAATGAATTTCATTTTCTTCGCTTGATCGCTTATCGAAATTACGCTTAACGTTCTCGAAAGCCTGACTGAATTTCACGTCCAATTGTTACTTTTTTGTATTACAATATATAATATCAGGGTAGATAGGTTCAAAATCAGAAAACTCAGCTTATTTGTTTGACATGGATATCTACATATAAAAATGCGTAAATGCATGATGTCTGTTGGCATATAAAGTAATATAATTAATAAGTGATAACTCCTTGGTCCCTGTGACATCGAAAGTTTCAGCACTTCTGAGAGGAAGGCGACGACTACCCACTTCTAAATGCCTTCGCGATTTTTTGGTAACCACAGTCATGGTGAAAACCCCCCAAAACACTGTTCCCAGCTCCCATGCCAAGTCTCCAATATTCTACATGCGCTCCTGGCACTTGTGGTATTTGAAAATGTTTTCTAAAACCGTGAGTAACACATTTAGCAGCTTATTGCTACACTTGTGTTGCAATTTTTATCGCAATCCGGGTTTACCAGTTCTTCAGCCATCGAAGAAATGCCATCATAGAACGGTTCTTACCATTCTCTCATTTTAGCTTCTACTTTTTAGGTGCCTAATGTCGACCGTGACTAGTGTAATCTCCATAATACCTGCACTCGACAAAAAAAATTTTCTCACAGGACTCGAACATTTTCTAATACACTTTTTGACTTCTCTAAAGCAAGCTTCTCTTCACTAGGCAGGCATGCTCGCAATGGAGAAAAGTCTGAGAATTAAAGCTTCATCAGTTAGGTTTTGGGACAAAAGCGACAATTTTGTTTATATTGCAGCATCCTGCAAGTAGCGCATTTATTGTATGCCTTGATATGTTGATAAATGGCTCGCGCACAATAAGCAGCTCTTACCGTTTGTTCGTGAAGTCCCCTGCATATGCTATACTTACGCTCACATAGTAAGCTATGATTACAATACTAAAAATTCATTTATCCTCAAGCTACTGTTCCGTCTTACAATTATGCGCTAAGCTATTTATTTATGCTTACGGAGCGTGTTACGCTTACAGTGCTATCAGATTTTTAATAATATAAATTTTTTTTTTTTTTTGCTAATCATTTAAGTAAGAAATGATGCGATCTATGCTGAAAATCATTTCTTTTTTTCTTATGTTCAGCTATTGCAGTAAAAAGCGCTTTATACGAAATGCCTTAGGAAGGGAAATAAGATAAATTGTGATATCTTGCTTGCCTTAAATAGTTTATATCAATTATTTTCTAAAGAAACTAAGAAAAAAAAAAAAAAAAGCAGAGAAGTTTCGCATAACCACAAAAACTGAATGCATGATACGATATAAAGGAAAGGAAACAGATTGCAAAGCAAACCCTCCATCAAAATAAATACATGAATGAATGTAAAGACATCAACTGCATAGTGCAGCATGGCGTAGCGTATTGCAATAAACAGCAACTCATGAATCGTCAGCACAATTTTGAAATAAATGTTCGCTACAAGCAGACAAATAATAGACACAGAGAGATATAC